GGAGGGAGGGAGGGAGGGGCCGAACCTGACATATGTGCTCATGACGATGCCCATCTTTTTGGGGTGAGGGGACCCGGGTCGGATTATCCTAGTCAGGGGCAGAGCTCACTCTGCGTGCCTTGTGGGTTGTGGGCCATCCCTCTGGCAGCCTGGCAGCTCCCACTCCCGCTGACTGCCCACGCTGACCCCTTTCTCTGGGATCAGCTGCTCTAGACACGCCCGGGAGCAGCAGGTGTGGTTGCCCGGGGTGCACGTGTGCAGTGTTTTTCTGGTTACCCCATTCCTCAGTGGAAACGTGGCTGTGTCAGGGTGCTGCCTGGGGGCCACTTGCAGCACTGAGGGTTTTGCCAGCAGGATCCCGGAGCTTTGCATTCGGCTGCAAAGCCAGGGCTTGAGCAGGCAGCTGGAAAGAGTCCAGGACTAGAGCGTGTTTGGGTTTGGGGGTGGAGAGCAGAGGGAGGGGCCGGGAGGGGCCGGAGGGCAGCGCTGCACAAGCCAGCAGTCTCAGCTTTGGCTCTGCTGTCAGCGGCGGCAGCGAGGACCTCCGCCCCGCCTGAGGGCCACTGGCCACCATCACTGGAGACGGAGGGCGCTGCCTCGCAACCCTGACTTACTGGCACCCAGCGGTTCCAAGTAGCTGTTGTGCTGTCTTTTCCCTGGGAGGCAAGTCCCCTCCCTGCCGTCCCCTCCCGCTCCTCCCCGTTCTGTGAGGGATGGTGCCGCTCTCTATTGCACGGCTCAGCCGGCTGATGTCACTGGCAGCGGGAAGCATCAGCAGCCTGGTCACATGCTGGCCCAGTCTGTAATGCAGACGGGATAGGGGTGTGCGTGTGGGGAGGGGGCTGTATGGCTGCCGCTCTTGCTCTAACGCCCCCAAAAGTGCAGAGGCGGAGGCTGCAGCACTCAGCCAGCTTGGACGTCTGGTCCTTCCGCTTGGGGAAACTACTGTTAATAATATTTATTGTCGATAATCCTGGGGTGAACAGCCCTTAACTCTGGGGTTTTGCTGTCCTCCTGTCCAAAGCAGACTTCCCGGACTCTGAAGAAGCAGTCGCAAGCAGGATGCTTTTCCCCACCTCTGCGCAAGATTCTCCCCGGGGCCTCCCAGATGCAAATGACTTGTGCCTTGGCCTGCAGTCCCTCAGCCTCACGGGCTGGGACCGACCCTGGAGCACCCAGGACGCAGATTCCTCAGCCCAGAGCAGCACACACTCGGGTGAGTGCCAGAGATGAGCCGGCCGGGGGAGGGGGCGCACGGGTGGCGAGCGGAGACACCCGCAGCAACAGTTGTTCGGTTCCCCGTGGCATCCCCCCACCGCACACCAACATGGAGCTGTTTTGCAGGAGATGGAAATGCTGGCTGTGAGTGTGCAGGACAGATGGCTGCTCGTGAAGGCAGGCAGGGCTCCTCATGCACCCTGGCAGATTCCCTGGAGGTGTTGGTCCGCTCCTGGGTGGCCCTGAGAAGGGTCCCCAGGGTGACGGGCTCATGCGGAAGAGACCCAGATAACCCCCTGTGCCCGGCCTGTTGGAGAGAGAACCCCCTGTGCCCGGCCTGTTGGAGATGATGAAGCAAAACACTTGGGGTGGGGGAGGGGCCTCGGCTGGTCACTGGGTGTCCAGGGTCCACTTCTCAGTGGCTCTGAGAACCAGGAGCTCTCTCTGCAGGATGGGTGGGTGGTCCCCAAGTCACAGCCAGGGCGGCCGGGTTACCCTGGGATGTTGGGGTTGGCTTCACGTAGGTTAAGAGCGTTGGTCCTGGAAGGAGGTAGCAGGGTGAGCAGGGTGGGGTGACTCCCAGCTACGGAGCCTCTTTCCTGTCTTTGTGTTGAGGGCAACCAACACAGGTGAAGGAAGAGCCACTCCCCTGTAGGGTCCCCTGTCCCTTGGAGGGGTTCTATGGGGACACATGGAAGGGGCCTTTTGGCCCCCCCCCCCCCGAACAGCTTCTGTTCAGACCTCTTGTGGCCCATTTATTCCCCTTGTGGTACAAGGGGCAGGACTGGCCAGATGCAAGTCCTGGAGTATTCAGGAAGGAACGTGAACTTAAGAAATAACTTAAAATCTGCGTATTCTGCTCTATGTGAGTGATGCCTCAGTATCAAGAATACTGGCAGCAGCTACTTTTGGAGGATTGGGGGGAGGGGGGCAGCCATTTGCTGCTGGTGCTGAGGGAGTCACTGAGCCGCCGTTGTCCCGCCTCCCCCTCTGAGGGCCGCCATGGCAGCCAGGTACCGGCTTGTTGACTTCTCTGGCCTCCACCCTATTTGGCGCAGCTTGCTCTCTTTTTTTTAGAATACTTTGTAGGGCCTGGGACTGTTGTGTCTGCTGACACTAAAATGCCCACTGGATTGGGGCTCGGGTTGGTTTTTTTAAGTTTATTTTTTTATTTGGTTGTGTGTGGGGAAGAGCTTTGCCTTAAGTCACTACCATACCTCTGGGTCCAGGTAGAATTTCCTGAAGTACGGGCCTTCGGCTGACTCGGGTTTTTCGAGAAAGGTTGGTAAAGGCCCTCTTTCCCTGAGCAGGGGAGTATGGTGTCACTGTTTGGTGTCTTTGCTCGGGGGCCGTGGTAGCTCCTTTCTCGTGGTACTCTGAGGCCAGCCTGGGTGGCCTGGAAAGCTGACCTTGTGCTCTGTTCCCCTGTATCTGAGCAGAAAACAGAAGAGCCCCCCAGGAAATGGGCACCCATCTGCGGTGGTCGGTGTCTGACGGGCCCCGTCTTTCACTGGTGTCGGGCTGGGGTGTGGCCCTTTCTTGGCTCTGCTGTATCTTCACCACAGGGGTCTTTCTGAAGTGCAGTCGAAGCACACAGACTTGCAGGAGGGCCCACCTTGGGGCTGGGGGAGCTAGGCCTGAAAGATACTGTGAAATAAGGCTGTGAAAAAAAAAAATAGCTTGGGATATTACTCAGCAATAAAAAAAAAAGTGAAATACTGCCACTTGCAGCCACATGAATGGACTCAGAATGATGCTCAGTGAAATAGAGAAAGATAAGCAACCGTACGATCCCTCTGATATGTGGGACCTAAAACAGCAAACAAAACAAAACAGAAACAGACTTGCAGATACAGAGAACATCCTGCTGGTTGCAGGGGTGGGGGTTGGGACGGTGAAAAGGGGGAATACAAGGCACAAACTTCCAGTTATGAAACGAGTCAGGCACAGGGACGTAACATTCAGCAGAGGGAGTACTGGGATTACTGCAAGAACTGTGTGGAGACAGGTGGTGCCAGACCCATGAAGGTGATCACGTAAGTGTCTAACCACTGTGTGGTACACCTGGAACTAATATAATAGTGTATGTCAACTGTACTTCAATAAAAAATAGCTTGGGTTGCCCTGGCCAGTGTTGCTCAGTGGTTAGAGCATCGGCCCTCAGACTGAAGGGTCCCGGGTTCGATTCTGGCTAAGGGCAGGTACCTGAGTTGCAGGCTCAGCCGGGTCAGGGGCTTGTGCAGGAGGCAACCAATCGATGTGTCTCTCTCACATTGATGTTTTTCTCTATCACCCCCTTCCACTCTCTCTGAGAAGCAGTAGAAGAAATATCGTCGGGTGAGGATTGAAAAAAAAAAATAATACCGCTTGGGTCCAACTTTCGCCTCCCCAGCTGTCCCAGCCTGTGAGTGGCCTGTGCCCTAAGCTGTCCCTGGAGTGGGAATGGTCTGCCTTCTCCTCCTTCCACCTCAAGTCCATCAGTGATAAACATCACATGGTTTTGTGGGTCAGAGAGGGACTGCAGTGTGGCTCTTCCATTCACAGGGATGGGGGGCGGCCCCAGGGGGAGGGCCTGGCTATGGGCAGGGTTCGTGTGCACATGTCTTTCTCTCAGAGGGTTGGAGACACGCCGGTCCCTAGTTCCCTTGTTGCCCTTGGGTTTTGGAGCTGTGGTAATGGCCATGCCGTGTTTTCCCGTGTTCTGGGCCTTCTTAGGAAGCCCAAGGAGGGTGCCACCTCCTGAGTGGGATGCAGCCCTCCCACCACCAGCTGCAGCGGCCCCCTTGCCAGCCGTGCGGGAACTCGCAGCCCACACATCGGTGCCCACATGCCTTCGTCTGGAGACCAGCAAGCTCTGCTTTGGGGGTGGGGGTGTGTGTTCCAATAGCTTTGGACAGTCTGGAGTCGTCCTTGCAGACCGCCTGGTACCCTGCTGCCTCTGTGCACTCTCTCCTCAGGCTCTGTGTGGCGGTTACTGCCCCAGGCAGCCGTGGCTTCATAATCTGGCCGTCTCCTACCACTCCATGTACTCAACTCAGCAGTGTGAGGGGCGGCAGGGTTGGAAGCAGCAGGGCTCTCAACTGGAAAACCTTGGCTAAATTCATTCAGCAAACATCCAGCACTTGCCTTGTGCCATGCACGGTGTTGAGCATTGGAGGTAGCCTCAGTGAATAAAACTGCTGCCCTTAAAAGTCCCCATGACCACTAAGGGAAAACAGATGAGAGAGAGTGCCGACTGCAGTAGGGTGGCTGCTGTGGTGGGGCTTCCACATTGGGACAACCGTCCGCAGGGTTCTCAGCAAGGGATGGATACATGACCTTTCTCTGGGGGGGTCCTTCTTCCCCATGGATTTCACTGGCTTTGTAGGCCCATGGGGAAGACCCTGGGCTGGAGTCTGCTTTGAGAGTTGTGCCTGTGAGGCCACTGTGGGTGTGATATTTTAAAAATATATATATATAAGTATATTTTTATTGATTTCAGAGAGAGGAAGGGAGAGAGAGAGAGAGAAACATCAGTGATGAGGGAGAGTCATTGATTGGCAGCCTCCTGCATTCCCCTACTGGGGATCGAGCCTGCAACCCTGTGTGTGCCCTGATCAGGAATCCTGGTTCACAGGTCGACACTGGCTGGGCGCCACTGTTGGTTTAGATGTGGCACTTTGTGGGGTCCCTTCCTCCTAGACGGTGCTGCCCTGTAAAAACCACCCTCCTAGGATGGGGGTACAATAACCAGCACTATTGACGGCTTCCTGTGCTAAGTCGCATGACTTTAATGCCTCATGGTCCCGGGAAATGGGTACTGATGCTGTCCTATTGTAAAGACCAGGAAGTAGGCTCACAGAGGCTGCTAGGTGCAGAAAGCAACCCAGCTGTCAGAGTTTCAGCCCAGACTCCGTCGCTTCAAGCCTCTTCTGTTTTCCATTGCCCCCGTGTTCCCACAAGCAGAACCCTCCTGTGCTGGGCAAGGACACTCGGGTTGGGGTGTCTCTATGTACAGCTCCAGGGCTCCTGAGCCAGAGGCAACGTGCGGCCTTGCCGGATCCCTCAAGGCCAGGGCAGGTGACTGGCAGGCCTCGGCTCACCCACTGTGCCACCCAGTGGACGGTCTTCCTGCCTCCTCCAGGTGACTTGCATGTGGCCTAACTCAGCAGGAAGTGGGATGATCAAGTGTCTACCTTGGAAGCAAGGACTACCCGTGATGCCTTATGCATAAGCCTGGGGGCAGGCTTGGTGCCCAGCTGTGATGCTGGGGACATGTCCTGTGTCCTCCCTCCCTGTGCAAGTCCCTGGGGGACTGGCCTGTTCACGCTCCGGTCTCTGCCCTGACTGCTGACCAGGGAGTGCTGTGCCCTGTGCTCCCCTCCTGTGAGGACTGGAGGGCCTGGCTCGGGAGGGGCATCCTCTGCATATTGCTTCTGCTGCTGCTGTTTCCAGATAACCTTTCTGAGGCAACAACCGGAACGGGGTTGGGCACCTACCCTGTGTGACATGGACATCGGTCCCAAGGTCTCCCTCAGACCTGCCCGGCCGCCGTGCTCCCTGGCCATGGCACTTTGATAAGCATTTCCTGAGTGAGTGCTGAGTGCTGAGCCGCTGTGCTCATCCTAGGTAATCTTGAACTCGGAGTTCAGACCAGATCTCTCCCATTCTCCTACCTTCTACCCGTGTGGATCAGTGGGATGGACAGGTAGTCTATTGAGGAGGCCTGCAGTGCAGAGAGAGGAGGGGCTCCTGGGAAGTGTGTGGCAGCTGGGCCCCTCCCTAGGCGAGTGCAGGGACAGTCAGTGAAATTGCTACAGGGATGGAGATGCCAGAGGAGGCGAAGGAGGCGACGTCAGGTACCTGGATCTGTGGGATCCAGAGCCATGCCGAGTTGGGGTGAGGTGTAGCATTTCGGGCAGGGGTCCTGGACTGGGAGCTCCCCTCCCCTTCCTGCCTCTGTGCCTTCAGATCAATTTTGGACAAACAGCCTAGAACCAAGGGCTGGGAGGAGGAGGAACGGTTCCAGGTACACGGACTTCTATCTTGGCAGGAGCACTAGCTCCCATCTGCGAACCTCTACTTCTCCCCATTACATAAAGGCATCTGACTGTGCATCTGGGCCTCTGCGCCTGAGCTGGGCTCGCGCTCAGTGTCTTCCATGCAGGCCTCCATTGGTGTGAGCCTCTCGCCGTTGCCGCCGTCAGACGCTGGGTGCCCCTGTCCTCTCTCAGGCAAGGCCTCAGAAAATTCCAGCAGTGACTCAGCGGTGAAACCCACAGGAGCTGGCACGGAAAGGTGAAAGTGGAGAAAGTTGACAATCGGGCTAAAAATATTCCTGCTGATTTGGTCTCCTGTACCCTCTAAGGTAGCATTAATGAGCTGGAATCTTCTGCCAGGCCCTCTCCTCCCCGTGACTCCCCAGAAGCTGTCTGTGGCTGATGCCAGCTCCTGCCAGTATGGGAGCGGGGACGGTGCCTCTGCCCCGGGGAGAGCACACTGATCTTAGTCACCATCGGAAGACGGAAGACTTGGGCTCGCTGTGCCCTTGACCACCAGGGCTGGAGGCACTCGGTGAACCTCAGACTTGGGACAGAAGCCAAGCAGAGGGTGCCTGAGGGACTTCTCTCCCACAGTCCCCACCCCTCGAGCCATCTGAGTTCATGTTGGAGGTCTGGCCATGATGAAGTCTGTGCCCTGTGCTGGGGGCAGAGTTTGGGGTTGTCACTGGCCTGCAGTGTAGGGACCTGTCGTTTCCACAGGATGTGAGGTCATGTGGCCTAGCAAGAGCGCCTGTCTAGTTGGACAGCCCATCCTTCACATTAGGCAGGAGACACTGCCAGTCATCAGCTGCAGATGCTCGCAGAACCACCTGGTCAGGCCCTGTGTGCTTTTGGCTGGTAGAGGGACATTCGGGTCTCTCTGGGGCATTTGATGGTGGGTGAGAGCTTCCAGAAACTTGGCTCCTTCTGTGAGTTGAAGGAAATAACACACCACCTGGGAAACCCTGGGCATCTTGTTACCAGGTTTTTTCGTCTGCCCTGTGTTTTCTAGTCACACTCCTGCTGTGTCCTTGGCCCCGTCCAGTTTTACATTTGCAGGAAACTGATGTGCAGAGGTGCTGGCAGGACCCAGGTGTGTTAATTCTGGGACATGCTGATCTGGGGCACTGCCCTTTCTAGCCATCAGCCCAGGCCCTGCCCCCCATTCCCTTGTGTGGTGGGTAGAGTGTCCAGCGAGGGGCCCTGCCTGCTCCCTGTACTTTATCTGCAGCTGTGAGGATCCCAGCAGACTCTGGGGAGGATTGACCGGGGAGGGTGACTCTGAAACCCTTTATCTATGTGTATCCAGTTTTCTTTGAAGAAAGTACTGTCACAAATTGGTGTGGCATGAAACTGTGCTTCTCTCAACCTCTGTTTTGGTGATGGGCTGGGTGGGGATAAGCTAAGGTTTCCCCCCTAACTCTGAGTTGCATCTAAGTCAGCATTGTGTTCTTAGAAAGGGCGTGGCCTTCGTGAGCATCCTGGCTCCAAGGCACAGGGACAGCTCCTCTCGGTACACCCAGCATGTGCGGGTCCCGCCTTCTGCCAGGTGTCGAGCTGAGTGCTGTAGGATGGTGAGGATGGGGGCTGCTGTTGGTGTGCTCGGTCGAGAAGGCAGGACTTCACATGCCTGCACCTGCAGATACCTGTACAGATACATCGTAAAAGGAGATCGTTCCTCCTTCCAGCAGAGGGGATTTTCATCCCTCTGACTTAGCTCCGGTTAGAACAGGTGCCTCGCAAAAGGTGAAGGAAGTCCAAGGGAATGGACTAATTTTCCTTTCTGCCATTTAAAAAAACAACTTTCTGTTTGGAAATCATTTCATATTTACAGAAGCTACAGATAGGAAACAAAAATTATGCAGAGGAAACGTGTTTCCCTTCTAGCCAGATTCTCCCAGTGTTGACATTTGCTCCTTTGCTTTATCACTTGTACCTACTCTCTGTGTCTACATGTGTCAGCTCTGAACATGGAGAGTAAAGATATTCTTGCATTCATACAAAATAAAGCAATTATCAACTGCATTCAATATAAAATTGAGCCTGGCTGGTGTGGCTCAGTGGTTGAGCATCGACCTATGAACCAGGAGATCGAGGTTCGATTCCTGGTCAGGGCACATGCCTGGGTTGTGGGCTCGATCCCCAGTAGGGGGCATGCAGGAGGCAGCCGGTCAGTGACTTTCATCATTGATGTTTCTCTCCTCTCCCTTCCTCTCTCTGAAATCAACAAAAACATATTTAGAATAAACTAAATTGATGATACTCAGATTGATGGTCGTATTCCGACTTTGTCAGGTGGCGCAGCAGCGTCCTTCATGGAGCTTTCCTCTCCCTCTTCTCTGCACAGGAGTCAGCCCCTGCAGCAGGCCCTAGCTCACTTGGTTTTGTTCCCTGTGAGCTTATGGAATTCTTTGCTTGCCTTGATTTTTTTTTTTTTTTTTTTTT